CAGCCAGCATGGCTGGCTGGGGAATTCTGGGAGTTGAAGTCCACTCATCTTAAAGTGGACACGTTTGGACAACACTGATCTAAGATAACTAGTCTGAGCAGGAGTTTAGGTCATAACTCTTTGATATTGATCCCTTCATGGATCCACCACGGTGATTCTGGATTCAGTTGCTTATACTTCATATGGGGCCCTATTATAAGTACTGTGATTTTTTTGGGGGGGGGGTCATGATAATAAATGGGGTTTTCTGGAGGAAAAGCAGAAACTGTCCCAGGAAGATCTTTTCAACGTTGGCCTAGGTGTGCTGCTAGGTGAAATAGGGCACATTGGCAAACCTTGATGACTTCTCAATGCTGTCAGTTGTATCAGAAGGGCAGCTTGCTAGCAATATTCTAAGTTAAATGTTTAGCAGAGGCTACAGAAACAGATGAGATACAATGCACTGGTCAGCCTTGAGCCCACTTTCAAAGCACCGAGAGCCCAATTGAACTTCCCACTTGTAATGGCAGAACAGATACAACTGTAACATTCCATTAGTACAAGAGCAGACAAAGTTAAAAGTTGTTGGTTTGTCATATCAAGCAAGTTGAAAACTTAGGAATGAAGTCCAAAGCAGTATAAACCTTACCACTCTAACAGAATCCTGTTGGCAGAGTTTAATGAAAACAACAAAACTTTCTGGCTACCCACTACCCATCAACATCAGTGTTGCCTCCATACCACTCAACCTTCATCTTCATTTCTATATCTAAAAATAAATAAATTTAAAAAAAAACTCAGACAGTGAATGAAGCCCAAGCAACATTAGCTCTACTACCACTCCATTTGCAGTCTTGCTCATTTGGAGAATAGCACAAGTCTCCACTAATCAATAGAAGAAATAGCATTAGCCAACAGTCAGCAGCAGCCTCACCTGGAGATAACCTCTCCATTCATTGCTCTAACCATAATCATGGTTGTGGAAAGCCCACTTGTTGAGCTTCTTTGCCTCCCTGTTCAATTCACATTGACCTGAGATTTAAACCTGCCCAAGTCCTGAGTTGGCATCCTAAGATCAGTGCTTTCTATGGGCAGGCAGGCAGCTTTACATAGCTCCTTGGCCTTATGCAACTCAGGATTTCCAAATGAAGCATTGAAAGCCTGCCTTTATAAATCATATGAATAGTATAACATTGTATGCCTATATATGCATAAATAAGTAGCATAAAACTAAGCTGTGCTTAGTTTCTTAGCCCAACACCTTATGGGAATGACCCTGAAGGACACTACATTACAAGTCCCAGCAGAAGAGAAACTTCAGAGGGTATGACTGGCTGACAATAGTCCATGTTGGTGATTTTCAAGGCTCCCTTTCCAAGAGAGGATTGCAGAAATGCTGATCTGGTTTCTAGCAGGTCAGCAGGCTTTGGCAGTGCGGTCAGTCTGAGAGAGGGAGAAGCAGAGCCAATCTACCAAGGTGAAATAATATGCCCAGATAGAGTAGGTTTGTGAAAGCCTGGCAGGCTGGCCAGCATTGAAGAAGCAGAAAGTGACACACTCATTTCCTGGTCCCAAGCAGTCAACAACCCCCCCAAAGTCCTCATGGCACTGTGGGCACAGAGAAAGGGAGGCAGGCAGGGAAAAGCTGCCATAGAAATAGAAGAAGGAAAGCAAACTTTAACCAAGCTTGGCCTCCTTTTCCAAAGCAATAACTTTTGTCTTTTTAAAAGCCACACACTTGACAAGAGTCTGCCCTAACTGGAGCACCTTTGGCAAGATAAGCACCATTGCCTTGTTCCTTAAAAGTAAGCCAACCATTAGCATTAGCAATTAAGAGCCATTCACAGTTCACACAGCTTGCTCCCTTTCCTGCTTAACAGCTACAACACACATTGGGGGGCAATCCATTCACTCAGTGTCAATTTTTATATCTGCCCTGGTAAACCAAAGAGAAGCCCTTCTTCTCTATGTTTAACTTTTAAACAGCTTACTGAGCCTCTTTTAAGGTGGAGAATCAGTGTAGCGTGGATGAGGAAGACAGCTCCAAATGGTGGTCTCCAACAGAGGAAATGCTATTTTGACAAATCGTGAATTAGTCTCTACACCTGCCTCATTCCCAGAACAATTGATCTTTGCCGCAGGGGAAGGGGGGGAGGGATGCAAGCCACCCTACAATTAATAAGATTGAGAATTTGGAGGAAATTTCATGGCCTCTAATTAATTAAAAGACCTGTGACAGTGATGTCTGCTCCAGAACGGGACAGCCTGCATAGTTGGAGCTGAGGATTTACATTAAAAAGATGCAAAGCAAGCCAATTAATTAATTAATTTGTGTGTGTGTGTGTGTGTATAAATAAAAGAAGCAGCAACAGCATGCAACAGTGTGAGTGTAGCATTTATTTTTAATGCAGGTCTGGCTTGATTGGGAGGTTTACTTTCAAGAACATCTGTTGCTCTACCAACTGAGGAAGTGTAATGGGATGCCACAAGCTTATCTGCCATACTGAACCTGGCCTTTTTTGTAATGCTCGTAGGTAACAGGCCTTCCCAAGTAACTGTGGCTCTGTCTTATTCTTTCAATAAACAGGTGACAACTAATGTCCACTATCTTTGTTTGGGTGCCCTGAACCCCAATCAAGGATGCCACCCCCTTTGCTCATAGTGAGGACATTGGTAGAAGAGTTCATGGCTACTGCCCTAAAGTACCCTGCCTGCCTTTGTCTACTGTTTGGTTGCAATTGAGAGCCTG